CCCCAAAACCCCAAAACCCCAAAACCCCAAAACCCCACTGTATCGCTTGGGCGTTGAAGGTTTTCAAGAAAATAAAATTTTAGTAATATGGTAACCTTACATTTCTTAAGAGGACTACATGATTAGAACTCTTCTTGCCTTTTTATTGAAATAGAATATGGCATCCCTTCGAACTCTTTTGGAATTGCCTTCTTTATAGCCTTAAAAGGACTCTTTTGCTCAGAGCTTATACCACAGAATAGGTAATCTATGATTTTCTGGTATTCTGAAGGGAACAATAGCGGACAAATTCTGAAAATGTGGCCTCCTTTCTGATTGATCCTTGTAATTGAACAACTCTTGAGATTCCTCATTGACAAGAGAAGTTCTCTGAAATCATTTCTTGTCTTGGCATCAGTCTCCTTCAGAGCTGCCAGTCGGAGTTTTAGATTCAGCTGAGCAATCTTCATATGTGATAGAGCTTTCAAAATCTCAATGTAATTCCTAGGATGCCGAGTCTTGACATCAACTGTTAGGACAAGTCCTTCAAGTAAAATCAAATTCCCAATCTCTTTGAGGTATCGAGCGACTGTCTTCTTTGTTAATTTATAAAAATACTTAAAGTCAAGATAGAACATGCCAATACTCTTAGCTTTACAAGTTAGCTGTAAATACTTTTTGCCATTCACATATTTCTGTTTCTTTAGACTATCAAAGTGAGGAATCCCAGCAATTTTAGATATCTTAGTTGGAAAAATAATCAAACTCTCAGTGCAGAGCTTTGTTTCCTCAGAAGATTTATTCACTAAGGCATCATCTTCCTGGCTCATAGTTTCATCACTTTGGTCATAATCCTGGCAAAAGTCTCTGAGAATCTGTTTGAGCTCCTCCAAATTTGGAAAATCTTTTTGTGAAATTTTAAGAAAGTTACAATGTCTATATGAAGATATAATGTAGTAGCCGTTCTTGAGATGTTGAGAATAGCAATCAAGACTTGAAGTTTCGAGGATATCCACATGAAATGAGCAGTAATAGTCACTATTTGGATCATAATAGAGCACATCAACATCTTCCATTATCGAAAGTCATGGTTTGTCTACTAATTGAATAATTGATGATTTGTCAAATGACTCAACTGTGGATTCTTTAATTACTACTCCTGACCCATTTTTGAGACAGAATTCCATCATCTTTTTTGGAAACTTGGAGTCTAAAGCTTCCTGTTGATTACCAAAATCAACACTCTTGATATTAGGGAAAATAAGCTGAAAATCTTGATTAGTTAGTGTAACTTTGTCCCCTAATGAGGAAAAATCTGTATGATTTTCTATCATAATAGATTGAATACAAGATCTAAACTCTGTCGAGTCAACAATTTCATTGTAATTATAGTATAAATTGATCAAGTCAATCTCATTCAAATGTAGCCTCTCAACTTTTGTGGCAAGATTATCTAAGCTTTCCAAACTGAATCTGCTGAGGTATAAATTCTGTATCTTTTTAAACATCTCGACTTCTCAGATATTACAGGATTTCAAAAGAGTCGAGTATTCGAGCTGTTGACTAAGATACTCGCTCCGTAAGTAAATATCCATTGAAATATACATCGATTGGAGAAATGGATTAATTCCTTTATCAACCTTCTTCTTCCAGAATTTCTGTAGTTGGAGAAATAGGTCATTTATGTATTCGTAATCATCAGCACTCTTAAAGAAGGTATTGATTCTTGAGACCTCAAGCAGAGCCAGGTCAGGAACTTTGGCCACAAAATCACAGAAAGCTTCTGCCGCTTCTTTTGAAATTATGTTGACTTCTAATGAATACTGTGAGTATAGATTTTTCCTGAGTAAAATTTCCCCGAACTGGCTGTTAAATGATTTATGGTACTTGATAATGTCTCTTTTAGGCTTAAGGAATCTTTGGAAAGTGCTCCTGTAGCATTTGAGGTGCTTATAAGTACTGTAACACAAGTGCGTCAGAAGATATTCGACCTGTTTGAAGGTTCCATAATACTTGAGTATGTTGCAGCTGTTTCCAAATTTTATCAGCAGTGTAATGAGGCAAGGCGAAGCTTCCATTATTTTTAATATATCAACTTCAATCCTTAGAATTTTATGGGGTTTTGGGGTTTTGGGGTTTTGGGGTTTTGGGG